AGGCTATCAGGGAATACCGTCACCTGTATGGAGTCCGCCGGCTCATAGATCACTGCCTTGTATGTCTCTGCCGCCGGACCAACATTTGTTACAGTGCGGTACACACCGTATGGTTCTTGCAGGAGTGGCACCATAATTGTTGGATAATTGAGCTTGAAATACTTGTAGTATGCTTGTTGCTACCCCACAGCTAGATCCGCTCATGGGCATATCCTCTAATGTCGGTGCCATACACCAAGCCAGGCTCGGTAGCCCTCACAGCATTGACATGCTCCGTACTTGTAGCACGCTTCGGCTAGGTCAAGTTGCTCATCTTCGATTGGTGCCAGCGTTGTCAGTGTTGGCGGATGTTAGGATTGCCGGCTTTATAGCTGCCAGCGATGGGTGTTACTATAAGACCGGTGATGTGTGGAGTTGCCGTAAAAGTGGCGAACAAGACTTGGAATCGGTACGATTATTGCTTCGTTGATCCCGGCGGTTCAATGGCGGATCCATGACAAAAATACAGGGGGAGAGGGGATCTAGTTCAAAGTGTGGCTAAGGCACTAACCCATAGTTCTTGTGAACTTGTAATGCTAAAGCCCATCATCATCTGCGTGCCTCAACCATCTACATGGTTTTACTGTAGCAACACTATTCATATCATCATCATATATATATATATATATGCAACAAATAGGTATGTATCTGTGACATGGTCCACATTTTATACAACATTTTTCAAGTGAAAATATAGGACTTTGAAGCGATTGAGATGTTATTAAGTGTTTAAATATTATTCTAAACCGAAATAGAAAAAAACGATCGAAAACGTGTAAAAGGGACATGTTGACAAGTAGCATGTCACAAGAACATCAACTACAAGTTCACGAACGAGAGGAGCTTCAATTTAATTAGTTAACGTAACCATTGTCGTCATGTTTAGTTTTATGCATAAATCTTCATTTCAAAATAACTAGTAGAGTAGTATCAACTGCCGAAGTGCAATAGTGTAAAACATTAGGCAAGGAGAAGTGCAGAAGTGCAAAACTGAATATTCTAGAAGGTTTGTGAACAATAACATCTACAAAATGTTCAAAAAAATGACATCTACAAAATCCATGTAAATTAATGACATGTTGCACACGAATCTCTTCCTTTCTAAACCTGAGCCAAGCTCGAGCACGTCATTGGGCCACGTGGCTCTTCTTTTTCGTTCGTCCGATTTTGATCGAACGTCTGGAATGGGCACAGCAACCGGCGTTTCCAGATCTTTCCCCCGAGCTCGCGGCTAGGCCGCGCCTCACGGCGGCGCTCACCTTCCTCGCCGCCGGCCTGGCCCCCACTCGCTCGCCCAGAGGCGCGCGCCACCTCATAGCAGAGCCGCGCCGTGAGATGCTGGCTTGTAGGCTTGGAGCCCCACCATGGCCGTGCCGGGGCGCCTAGGGGCCGCCCACGAACGCCGCGCTAGCGTCTCGAGGCCCGTGCTTCGCCGACCTCCGCGCTGGCGCTCGTCCCCTCTGCTCCTCCGTCTGTTCCGCTGCCCATCAACCTCGGGCCTCAGGCGCCCTCACCAGAGACGCATCGCCTGGTTCTCCTCCCCCCATTCGTCCCCGACGGCCGCTAACAACTCGCGATGGAGGCGTCAGGCGTGGTGTTCCCGCGGCGCCATACAAGCCATTCGCAACCGAAGCAGGCAAGCAGAGTCAGTACCTGCACCACCCCGGCCAGCAGTTCAACGTCCAGAGCAACGATCAAGGTACACAATGCCCAGTAGCCGGCAGCCGCTCGACGAAATGCCTTGAAGGCAAGCAGTTCACTGCAGCAATGCTGTTAGATGAAGACTGTTCCTGCTACAAGTCGTCTTCTCTGTAAGTAGTGTGTCCGTTTTTTTTTTCCATATGCATGCAACCTATGTGGAGCATTTGCTATTCATTAAAAACCCTTCTAAGGAGTGCCAAGTCCATTAATGCGCTTAAGCTCTTGGCTGTTCGCTAAGCAACAATTTGAGTTCACTCTCGCTTTAGATTAGCAGTGAGATTTATTTGCTTGCCCAGTAATAATCCAGAAGATTTTTTAGTCCTCTTGTTTTCTTATGAACTGGTGAACTGAAAAAACATATGAATTATCAATTACTCACCTGCGAATGTATTAATATTCAAAACAATTTGTTATTTCGTTGGTTAGTTCTCAAGTTTTCAGACACGTAACCTTCATCTAAATGGTTTGTTTCCTGTTAATCTTCTGGCACTATTTTTTCCCATAATCCCAGTATTATATTGTCGGTCGCTATCAAGTCCACATCAAGCTCCAACTTACCGTACAGTGAGATAATACTACGAATGGCAACATAAATCCAGTATCAATGTTCATTCTATAGATCTATGCTGTAACACGATAGGTTTTTGCCTCTGCTATTATAAGGTTGAGGATTTCGCTATAGCAGTCCGCCCACATTATTGTCATTTTGAGGTTGTGCCAATAGTTGAATGACTTTCTTCAAAACAATTCAAAAGTAGCTGTACACACAGTAATCCAATTATAGTGACAATAAGAAACATCAGATTAAGTAACGGATTATGCTCCACCACTCATCCAAGTACAGAAACTATTAACAAATGGCATCGATTTGTTACTGCTTTCTTGATCACTTCCTGTGTCTCTTGAGAATCTATGAGCACAATATCTTTTTTGTTTACTGCTTTCTTAGTCACTTCCTTGCGTCTCCTGAGGAACATGCTGCTGCTTGTGGATCATCATAGCAGTATATTCTTTTTCCACCTCAAGAATTAAAAGCTCTTCTCCTCCCTCCCCTCAATGCTAAAACTAACTACTGTCCTTTGTATATTTTTTGAACACAATACTATCCTCCATATATCTCCGTGCAAATAAAGTCATCCTTTCTTTATCGATGTCAACCTGGACTCCGCACACAATGTATTCAATGATATATGCCCGTGAGGTAACAGGTCATTATTCTTCTTCTGTTCATGTTTTATAAAATGCAAGTGAACAAGATGTGTTCATATGTACTGGGCTCTAAATATTGATAGATTGATTCGACATTGAGGTAGCTTGAGATCAATAGTTACAAGTGCGATTTGTTCTAACTTCTAAGTGACTCTGCAGCTGCAATGCTAGCAAGTTGTAGTAGTGGCTCACTACCATGTGACCCAATAGTGTTACAGAATATAGCTAAAGAAAAACTGATTTTATTCATGTGACTTGATCATAGGCATAGCACCTAAACAATCTTTATGCAGTATAATCTTTCTTCGTATTTGTGTTAAGTGGTTTTCAGTTATATTTGTCATTTTTTGGTCTACGACTACACTTATGCTTTCCACGAAAAAATGTTAACATTCATATCTTCTCCATACCGTGCATCCATTTTAGTCACTTGTTTTTGAAGTTAAACTGATAGAATATAATGAGTGACTTCTCTTCACCACTTTTCACTAATATGAGCAAACTACATAGGTTTTAGGGACATAGGTTGATTTCGTTGCAATTTGCTTGGGAGCTGCCAGCATACTCCGCAGCATACAGTGTTCCCACCTCACAGGTTACAGCTGCAGATCTTTGGAAATCAAACTAAATTGCAGCATGGGGGATGAGAACTTTTGAATACTCGAATGACAATAAATTGGTATATCTAATTACTTAAAAAGTTCTTACAAAATGTAAAGTACGATTGCTTCTTTCTGTCATATTGGTTCTTCTATTTCAAAATTCACGCATTGCTCAGCACAATGGCTATTACCCAAAAAAATATCTATATCAGTGTCAGCTGGAAATTTAATGGTTTAAGCAATCCATCTAAGACACAAAGGTCATAGTGCTCTACTTTTACATACAGTTAGATGTTCATACTGACTCATTTTGATCTACATTGAATGTGTATAACATATATCATTATCTGAACCATCCACCTCTTCTTTAGAATCTAGAGGCCTCAAATTCAGTTCAATAAGGTGCCTCCTGTAGGTCTGAACTGGCCCGTTTATTTACCTTTTCTGCTATACACTGAACAAACATTAAATTCTAAACTGGCCCAAATCTATGACTGACGGCTGGCGCGGCAACGCCGTGCCCCCATTTCTAGTGTTTTTGAAATTTGGGGTTCTTGACAAATGACAATATGCCAAGATGCCCTTAATCATAACTGAAAACGTGCAGCAAACAACTATGGTAATACTGCCATGTTTATATTATCGGTATACCCTTATACTTTTTTTACTAACTGGTTCGTGGGCCACCGCTAAGTACGATACTTAGATGCCTTTCATTTTTTTTTTTTTTTGAAACGGAAATGCAATTCCATTACTCTGTGTCTGCACGCTCGGCAGCAACAATGTTCAAGATACAATCTGGAGGATGATCCATGATAGGGTCATCGTCCACCGAACACACACACCCAAGAGCAGCTAGATCATGTGCCACTCTATTACAAGAACGAGGGACAGCCCTGATTTTAAACTCCACACAGTTCAGACTCACAAGCTCTTTGATCTCCCTAATCAACCCTCCGGCCATGGAGAGGTCCCATCTCTGAGACTCCACTGCTTGCTGAACTTGCACGGCATCAGTTTCTAGATGAACTCTGGATATGCCCAAGTCAATCGCCGCTTGTAGCCCTTGTAGACATGCCACTACTTCATCAGCTTAGAAGGGCTCCAAAATGTGGGAAAGTCGACCTCGACCAGCCGAGATCATATCACCGTCTTCATCCCGGATTATGAACCCCCTCCTCTGTCTCCCTGCGAGTTGATCTTCAAAAAATTTTGTGCCGGTCGCTGCCACTTTTGGACAGTTCTGATCACCGTCCTGGTTAAGCCTTCGATCTGAACCTGTGGACGGCTATTAAAATTTTCGAGCCTTGTAAAATTTTTCTTAACTTATTATATTATTACAATATATACGCAATTATATATTCCATATATAAACGGCGAGTACTCTTATTGGTCTGTTAACAAGACGACTAATAACAATCACACAGTATATGCATCGATTCAAGTGAGTCACACCGCCGTCCGTTTTGCTTCGACTTTGTCGTGAACGCGATGAGAGTTCTTGTACACCGCCGCCGCGCCGCCGTCGGCCAGTCCAGCGCGGTACCCGGAGTTGTAAGCCGCCGCGTCAGACATCATCACGTCGCCGGCGACCAGCATCCCGCCGATCGCGCCGCTGACCAGACCCGCGCCGAGGCCCGCCCCGAAGTCCAGCTTCCCGTTGCTCTCCCCGCTCGCCGGCGCCGGCACAGCAGCGCGCCCGGCAGCCGCCTGCTGTGGATAAGTAGCAGCCGCCTGCGGATAGGTAGCAGCAGGCAAGCTGTACTGTGGAGGTGGTTGCAGCTGGGCGTCGCGACCGGCAGCTTGCGCCGGAGGAGGGGGCGGCGCCAGGGACAGCGGCGAGGGCAGGTAGGCATACGGCGGTGTGTAGAACTGCCGCGGCATCGGGTACCCGACGAAGGTGGTGGTGGCCTCGTCGACGGCTCTCGCCTGCGGGGCGACGATGGGGCCGAGGCGGTACGACACGTTGAGCACGCCGCGCGGCTCGCAGCGGTGCACCTTGCGGACCTGGTACGACGCCAGCTGCGGCGGCCGGGCGCCAGGGTCGGACGCGGCGCCGCCGCCGGCGAGGATGTCGGCCAGGGGCACGATGACCTCGCCGACATCGCGGTCGCCCAGGGCGCGCTCGGTGCGCAGGAGCACGTGGAGGCAGCCGGTGGCCGTCGCGGCGCTGGGCGGGACGTTGAACCGGAACGAGGTGTTCCAGCACGGGTGGCGCCCGCCGTAGGGGTCCGGCTGGGTGCACTGCCGCGTCAGAGGGTCGCCGGAGATGGTCACCACGGCGTACACCTCCATGCGCGAGATCAGGTTCACCCTCTTCAGGCCCTTGGCAGACAGGAGAGTCACCTCCAGCGTCCTGTACGCCATGGCGCACTCTGTGTGATGACTGATGGGTGCACCGTGCTTTGTCGAGCTTCAGCATGTTTATATAGAAGGTGGCGTGGGCTCCACCATCACTCGGGGTGAGATCCACTGGTTAGAAAACATGTTTAGGTGAAATACATGGATTTTTTAAAGGGAATGTATGGATATTTATTTAAAGAACATTGTAGATACAGACACATGTGCATACACATCCATATCCTATCTCTATAGTAACCAATTCTAAGAAACTGAGCCTATAAATCTTAATATTGACGATGTTATTACGAATGTCTCGCAGTTGATGAGCACCTCGCCTATCACCTACAAAAAAAATAGCAATTAACTGAAAATGCAGGCAACGTAGGTGTTGAGTCGAGAAATTCTACTAAGGTAAGCTCACAGATATTTGGGCATCGATCATAGTATTCTATGTGATACTATAAACACTAGACGAGTCAAAATAAATAAAAAACACTTGACAAAATCAGGAAAATTCATTTAAATTTAGCGCTCCCCGGATCATGTTCTTCCTATCGAAATATCCTGTTGCTTATTGCTCCACCACCTTGGTGATACAGAGCCATGGGGTATGTTGCCGCTTTTCTTACCTAGCTTTGCTACCATGCATGTCTCGCCAAGAGACCATGGTTGTTCTGATCTTCCTACTCAGTGGTGTAGCTTCTTAGTACTCCATCCGTTCTAAATTATAATATGTTTTGATTTTTCTAGATACATAATTTTTGCTATACATTTAGATATACACTATGTCTTATATATAATAAAACCAATATATATAGAAAAGTCAAAACGTCTTATAATTTAGAACAGAATAAGTACATGCCAATAGAGGCCATGGCCACCCCCTTTTGTGAACTCCATTACTTGCAATCATTTGCCTTGATAAAAAAAAATAAAGAAGCATCGTTCTCTAAAGATTGGGTCCTGCTGGATTTAGGTCCAATTGTCCGAGCTCCACCATTGTTCCTATAACCATTGGATTTCTTCTTAAGCCAAACATTCACCATCGGTATCTAACACTTTATATAGATTGAAACTGATAAATCCGATTACGAAGACTCCTTTTATAACGGATACATAATTATTTTCAATTAATATAATATTATTGTATAGAGATTGCTAACTGAAGTCCTATTTTAAGGGGGGGGGGGAGTGTTGACTTAGAGTATTTTAAGAGTTCCCGAGTATTTGTTCTCAAAATTATTGAGTTTTTCAAGTCGCCAAAAAAATTTGGGAGCACCAAAGGAAGGTTTCTCCAACAGTTTTTTTTAAATCACTCCTAAACTCGTCCCATGGGATGGCCTTTGCGATGAGAGAATTGTACAAAAATGCAGTCCTTAAGGTAAAACCTTCACTAGTACGGAAAAGATTTTTAGGAACGCCTTCCTTTTCTATCAGAGACAGATAAACTAGCACGCCGCCTCTAACATTGCCGGAGAGCACTGTAGCTTTGTAACCGTCGCTAAAAATCCATTTTCAGGGGCGGTTCCATTAAGAAATCTGCATCTAAAAATATATTCATTTTTATGGGTGGTTCCGTTAAGAGAATCGCCTCTGAAAATGTTATTTTCAAGGACGGTTGCTTATGTCAATCGTCTCTTTCAGAGACGGACCTTAAAAATAGCTGCAGCATAAATAAATTAATATATTTTTTAAATGAAGCCGGATGAAGACAAAGTTTATATCAAAATTGTAGAGCTTGACGAGATTTAAAACTTTGTAGTTGATAATTTTTTTGTTTGAGATCATTTAGGGTTCTAAATATATAAATTAAGTCTCAGATTTTTCATTTCAAATTTTTGAATTTCTCAAATGACCTTGGATGGAGAAATATCATGTATAAAAGTTGTAGTGCTCAAAAGAGATCTAAAACTTTGTAGTTGAATTTTTTTCCCATTTAAGGTCCTTTAATAGTCCAAATATTGATTACAAGATCCATTCATATTAATACAAATGGATAGCATTGTATATCTCAATTCAAGTGATTGTGTGGTGTAATGGCAGTGACGGAGTGCGCGGAGCGAGAGGTTGTGGGTTCAAATCCTATAACCACCATCCACTATACCAGATGGTGGTGAAAATTAAATTCTACAAGTGGTTGTTTGGTCCTCTTGGCCTCTAGCCACACTAAATATTTGTTTCTTATTTTTATTAGACTCTAAATGATTTTCAAAAAAATCTTAAAATTATTTTTAGGAACAGTCGACTTAAGTCAACTGTCTCTAAAAATTGATTTTTAGGGACGGTTATCTTAAGAGAACTGCTTAAGGGATCAATGCTCCTGTGGCGTGCAATCATGGTCGTTTAAAGCCTGCCCTATTCTATATGTGATATTCACAAAAAAAATCTATATGGGGATGATGCCATTCAGCTTGATCAACACGAACGGCGAACCCATATCTTTGTCTGGTGAAGTTCACCCCTTTCTCTATGGTTTATCCGCCTTTTTCTTGTCGATCGAAGATATATAATATGGCGGATGTGTACCACTCCAAGCTGCTTTATTGCTGCGCCTTTGAATGTGGCACTGGCATTGGAAGTGACTAGTGCAAGAACAACCCAAAGTGGTCTCTCTTTTTTTATTGAGATCTCTCAGGGTTTGGGCTTGGACACAAGTTAGTACCAAGATCCTTTTACGATATAATCTGGTTTTGGTATGTTAGGTTTGGTTAGGCCATCCTTGTAATCAGCTTCTAGAGTGATTTCAATCATAAAATCACTTTTTCTCGTAGAATCATTTGTGCTTACCGTATATCCAAAGGATGGGTGGCGGTCCTTGGTCCACACACATGAATCAAACAGCTTAAAGCACATGGTTCTACAAGAATTAGATGCCAAAGGTAGCATGTAGAGGCATAGAGCCTTGGCTGAAGTGATATGATTGGGATGAACCCATAGTTAACCGGAGGAACTGATTCTTCCATTTGGATTCATGCTCTGGTAAGATCGTCATCCAGAGCAGCTGGGGCGGTTGAACCGGTGGATCAGTCTACGCTACAACGGTCTCTTGATCGACCATTATCTGTTCCTAGAGAGCGAAGCATCAGCATCAGGCAAAAATGCAAAATCATCTGATGCTAATAGACCTGGGATTAGACTTGGCATAATACAAGATCCAGTTAGACTTTCTCACTTGGATTCTATTGGATTTGGACACGTGCTGTTTGGTTTGTAGAAATATAACGCAAATGGAAATGAAATCAGATCACATCCTATATGTTGCCGTAACATTGACAGCTTTAATTCCATTACTTTTGCGTTACCAATCCTACCACCAAACAGCGCCTTAGTTGGATATAGACATTCATTTGTTCATGATCCAATAGTGTCAGATGCTGCTGGACGAAAATCCCCACGATATTTAAAATCCAATTGGACTGACCCCGGCTCCTTATTAGCATCATGCTAATAAGGAATATCATGTCCTTAATAACAACGCTTAGGCAGTTGTTAGGATAGACTGAGGGCTGGGGGAGACAACAAATTTGTAAACGGGCGTGAGGGGATAAAAAAAACTATTCCAAGTCATGGAGTCGGCATATATTTGAACTGTGCTTCTTTGTTCTTTAATATAAAGATGCACAGCTCTATGGGGTTCGAGCAAAAAAATAAATCATGTCATTGAAACGGAATTACGATGGAACACAGTTTTGTTAGTAACTGATTGTAGAGAATTGTACAAGACCATCAAAACAGCTTCTAACAAAACATCGTGCTACCTCTCTCTCTCTCCCACTCCAGGCAAGATTTTTATTCACCAAATTAAAATAAACTAACACACACTCTCAAGGTGATTGGAATAGACTGCGCAATCTGCTTTTAGGAAAAAAAAGAAAAAAAAGAATGTGCAATCATAACTATAACCATGGACTTGTCGACGAAGAAAAGACCCCAAAAAATTGAAATGGATGAACCTACACTCGAATCTTGTCGATAGTGTATTGCTTGATTTTTATCATTACTCAATAATTTAGGGCATACTAAATATGAAAACACAAATGAAAAACTGGTCCTTTCATAAACATAATTTACACTCTGTCTAAAGATATAAGGCATATTTGGTTTAATTAGGACTAACTTTTGATCAACAATTATTTTTCCTCCATTTCACAGTATGTGTCCATACCATGACATGCACAAGTACTAGTTTTAAGGAAAAAAACAATATATTAATTAAATGTAATAATACAGCAACTTGTCTTATGTCGGAACATTTAAACAGGGTCGGAAGTGGAAATTAATAATGCAATATCTTCAGTTTTTGTTATCCTCAATAGATAAAATTGAGTGTAGCTTATCTGGTTGGTTTTATTGTGGCAGGTTAAGTTCTTGACTTGTCACATGTGAAGTCTTTTTCCAAGACGTTCATAGATATAGGATGTGTGTAATCATTCACAGGTTAAATATAAACAGAACAGTTATAAAAAAAATAAACTGAATGGTTCATCTGAATGCTCTTGATGAATCTCTAGCTCTAGATATAATATTTTGTTGAGCTACGAATACTCAGCTCCAAAACCAATCCCCTCATTTCCATACATGCACCAATAAAAAACCATAGTGTTTTTTTTCAAAGCAAGAAAGTCGTGCGTACGATCTTGCGTGAGAGAGAGAAATAGCAGTTTAAAAAGAAAGCACTCTGAGTGGTGTAATCTCAGTCTACAGATGCTTCTGCATCTCCTTTCTCTCCCGCTTTCGTCCTTCAATGTACAGGAGTATCTTATGCCTCGGTGGAGGGCTGTCCCTTTCTTTAGAGATAGAAACGAGTAACAAACAGAAGAAAGAAAATGGGAAGCAAACCTAGGTTTCACCTCCTTTCTTTGTAATTCAGCACGTCTAGTGTATAGTAGAATAGGAAAAAAAAAACTCTTTCTTGGAACTACGTATCTATGAAACCCCCAAATTGTTTGCCTCTCCATGCCATGATCACATCAACTCCAACGACATTGCACAACCTTGGACCAAACTACTTACTTTATCCAGAACAACGGCACGTGCACGCTTTGCTGGTGCCTTGTGTAGTATGAACTTGCAGCAGACTTCCTTCAACGCAGTCCAAAGAATTGGTGATGGCATCCCACACCCGCTGCACAAGCAGAGCACGTAAGACGGCGAGAGGCTCAGGGACATCAAGGAAGCAAGCACGGTGCCAGCATGTTGTTATTAGCATAAATATTATGCAAATTGATTGACACCGACATGTAAAGCAATATACTCTGATTAATGCCACACCCTTCTAATTTGGGCCAACCAAAATAACCGATGCAGGTTCTTCATTATTCCTTTTGTTTTTCTGAACTGATGAGAGGATTTCTAGGATTTTGCTTTGGGCACGCTGAAAACAGCATGTAGTTAATAGCAAACAAAACAACTTATAACCCCACGGAAAAAAAACTGCTCTGAAAGAAGCAAAATATGGCCATCATATATATGGTCCAGATGATGCTTCAATACAGGTTATCTTCAGATTCCAGAAACAATTGCCCTAGTTAACTGCAAGCGCAAACATCATACGATCCTTTGGAGCATGGCCTCAACACTACCACAACCATCATCCACATCGGGGCCAGTCCAGTATCCAGAAATAACAACAGGCGCACCTGGCGAATCCATGCAATGCGTAATGGACAGAGCACTCTGAGCAGTCGAAGCGTCTGTGGGTCTGCTCACTGCAGCAACTCCTGCAGACGAGCCTGAACTTGAGCGGCCAACAAGGCTCCTTGACCTCTGTGACATGGCAGCTGCAAGCACAAGTACTTTTTAAGAGTTGGATGATGTGAGCTCCAAGATTGAATTAGAACAACAACACTGACACTGATGTTGCATAAGTTGTGATGACTGGGGAATAAACTGCTTACCGCTCAAAGGTAGCTTCCAACGTTGGAACTGATTTAGCTGCTCCTGGTAACACAAGATTATCAGAACAGAAGTTAAGAATTCAGACATTGGGAATAACAGCACGGCAGCTTTTGAAAATAACAGCAACATGATTCAGTGTTCTATTACAGGAGGTGCTGAAAACATGCTGCGAGTGACATGCACAACAGTACAAGGAAACACGATGCGATGAACACAGAAACGAAAGGACACTTTATATAGAGATGCTGATAAGGAGCTACAGGCACCATACGCAGAACAGTACAAGGAAACACAATGAGAGGAGCGCACAAACCAAAAGGATTGTTCGGTTCTAGTACTGGAGATGCTGATAAGGGGCACCATATGCAGAGCAGTACGAGGAACACAAACAAAAAGGATTGTGTGGAACTAGGACATGATTTATCATTGTGAATTTGCAATTGGCAAATAGGGACAACTAGAATACAACTAGTCACAAGCTGCAATTGGCATTTGAGTTATTTTAGGCCAGCAATTCGTTCGCAAGATGGAGAAATGCTTTGTGGCATCCATCATCCTTTTTGGACGACGGGAATCCATGAATTCACTCCAATGAAACAAAATTCCACCTATGTACTGCATTAATCAACAGCATATCCTGAACTATGCAGATTACCCAAATCATTTGAGCCCCAGTTTGCCAGGAATTATGGCTCAAACTTTCGGAAGTTGAACAAGGCGATGGCACAATTCAAGTTCCGTAGACCACGCCATCCACTCTGAGTTGAAGAACCGAATCAAAATTGCACAGAGCTCCTATCAGTTACCACCTACAACCTGTTCGACGAATTGCCCACTCCACGAAAAGGTAAATAGTGTACTAGGTATAGAGGTCAGTACCTCCTTTGGGAAGCTCCGACGAGGAGCCGGGGGAAGGAAGCACGGCCACAAGGCGGCGGCCGTGGCGGCCCCTGCAGGGATAGGGTGAAGCAGCCCACACGCCATGGGCAAGGTCGCCAAGAGACGGAACGGCCGGCGGGAGGAGAAAGCGGTCCGTGGGCCGTGGAATTATTTAGAGAGCTCCCCCTCCGTTTCGTTTGCGAGTTGGGGGAGTTGGTGGTGGAGTCCACTGTCCAGCCAGCGATAGGGCGCCTCGTCTCTAGATGCCACATTGCCACTGCGGCGGCTGCCTCTGCTTTGCCCCGCGCGTGCGACGGCCAAAGGCAAACCACACGCGCTCTCCACCGCGGCCGCCGAAACTCCCCACCCGCCGCGCGCAAGCGCCGCCACGCCCCTCGCCGCCCTCCGCGTCCGCCTGCAGGCGGGCCTCCCGCTCTCTCCCACCGCCTTCTCCGCGGCGGTCGCGCGCTCCGGCCCGGACGCCCTGCCCGCGCTCCACGCCCTCGCGGTCGCCTCCGGCCTCGCCGCCTTCGCGCCCGTCACCAACTCCCTCGCCGCGCGCTACGCCAAGGGCAACTCCTTCGCTGCGGCTGCCAGGGTGTTCGCCTCCGCGCGGAGCCGGGACGCGAGCTCCTACAACACCATCCTCTCCGCGACCCCCGACCCCGACGATGCGCTCGCGTTTGCCGCGCGGATGCTCCGGGCCGGGGACGTGCGGCCCGACGCCGTCACACTCTCGCTCGCCGCCGGCCGCGGGGAGGCCCGCCTCGTGCGGCAGCTGCACGCGCTGGCGTCGCGCGCGGGGCTCGCCGGCGACGTCTTCGTCGGCAATGCGCTCGTCACGGCCTACTCCCGGGGCGGGTCGCTGGACGCGGCCCGCAAGGTGTTCGAGGAGATGCCGGCGCGGGACCTCGTCTCCTGGAACGCGCTGGTCTGCGGGCTCGCGCAGGACGGCGAGTGTCCGGCAGAGGTCATCCGGGTGTTCCTTCGGATGCTCAAGCACGGCGGCGTGCGGCCTGACCGGATATCGGTCTGCAGCGTGATCCCGGCGTGTGGCGCCGAGGGAAAGCTCGAGCTTGGCCGGCAAATCCACGGCTTCGCGGTGAAGCTGGGCGTCGAGGGTCACGTCTCCATCGCCAACGTGCTCGTCGCGATGTACTACAAGTGCGGCACTGCGCCCGGAGAATCTTCGAGTTCATGGGCGAGCGCGACGTCATCTCATGGACCACGGTGATGTCCATGGATGGGGAGGACGCCGTCTCGCTGTTCAATTGCATGAGGCGAGATGGGGTGGCGCCGAACGAGGTCACCTTTGTGGCCATGCTCTCGGCGATGCCAGGAGACTGCCCGTCGAGGGAAGGGCAGATGATCCACGCGGTGTGCCTCAAGACCGGCCTGTCTGATAAGGCAGCGGCGGCGAACAGCCTCATCACCATGTATGCCAAGCTGCGGCGCATGGATGATGCCAGGGTGGTCTTCAGTCTTATGCCTCACCCGGAGATCATCGCTTGGAACGCTCTGATCTCCGGCTATGCCCAGAACGAGATGTGCCAGGACGCGCTTGAGGCCTTCTTGGCAATGGTGAAGATCATGAAGCCCAACGAGACGACGTTCGCAAGCATCCTAAGCGCGGTGACTGCGGTCGAGACCGTGTCCATGGCCTACGGCCAGATGTACCACTGCTGGACGCTGATGGTGGGGCTTGGCGCCAGCGAGTACGTCTTCGGTGCTCTCATCGACATGTACGCGAAGCGAGGCAGCTTGGAGGAGTCCTGGAAGGCGTTCGGCGAGACCGTCCACCGGAGCCTCATTGCCTGGACAGCCATCATCTCGGCGAACTCAAAGCACGGGAACTACGATGCCGTCGTGAGCCTCTTCAGTGACATGGTGCGCTCCGGTGTCGCTCCTGACGGCGTGGTTCTGCTCTCTCTCCTCACCACCTGCCAGTACAGCGGGTTTGTTAGCTTGGGCTGTGAGATCTTCGACTCGATGGCCGCCAAGCACGGTGCCGAGCTGTGGCCAGAGTATAGATGGGCAACGGGCCGGCCCGGCACGGCATGGCACGGTAGGGCCCATCGTGCCACCGGGTCGTGCCGCCCTGAGCTTCGTGCCTGGCCGACGGCCCAAGCATGGCATGTTGGGCTGATTTTCGTGCCGGGCTGGCCCGAAAAGCACGCTGTGGCCAACGGGCCGGGCCAGCCCAAGGCCCACAAATGCCGAGAGAGCGAGAGAGAAAGGGAGGGAGCAAGAAGGAGGGAAGGGGAGGCCGCGCTGGGGCATGGAGGCGGCAGTCGCTGCCGCCTGAGACCGCCGGCGAGCTCGAAGGTTGAAGTCGGTCGTCTCGCGATGGGGAGTGGAGGATGAGACCAACCACCGGCGCAGGGGGCATGGAGGCGGCTGCGCTACTTGAGGTCGAGGCTGCTGGGCGGGGGGCGAGAGGAGGAGGCGACTACCGGGCGGAACTGCTGCGGTGCGACAAGAGTGGGGAGGGGTGTGGTGCGACCAGGAGTGGGCAGGAGCCGAGTGCGTCGTCGTCAAGTGAGAGGGGCCGGGAGCGCATCGCTGCGACGCTTGGCAAGTGCGGGCATGCGGTGCTGGGAGAGGCACGGTGGATTTGGGAAAGGAATTAGGGTTAGGGGGAAGGAGCTGGTGGCCTGGTGGGTTTTTTTTTAAGCAAAAGGGTGGTGGGCTCTTAGCAGGCCAGATTAGTCACCGGGCCACCAATAGGCCTCTCACCAAATTGCGTGCCGTGCCGGGCCAGCCCGCGTGCCTAGGGTGCGGCCCGGGCCGGGCTCGTGCCGGGCCAAAAATGCGGGCATCGTGCCTGGCCGTCGTGCCGCGAGCTGCATGCCCATATATAGGCCGGAGCACTACACGTGCATCGTCGACATGCTAGGCCGTGCGGGGAGGCTGGAGGACGCTGAGGAGCTCATGCAGCAGATACCTTCCGGGCCGAGTGTCTCGGCTCTGCAGAGCCTTCTTGGCGCCTGCAGGATGGTCGCCGGCTTCCTGACGGAGACGGAGCCTACGGAATGCGGCGCGTACGTGCTGCTGTCCAACATCTACGCCGAGAAGGGTGACTGGGGCGCGGTGGCGAGGGTGCGGCGGCAGATGCGGGAGAGGTTTGTCAAGAAAGAGGTCTCGTCGGTGCCGGCAATTCCCTGCACCTGCACAAGTTCTCGTCGGACGACATGACGCACCCGCAGACGGAAGAGAGATACCGAGTGGCTGAGGGGCTAGGCTGGGAGAATGAAGTTTTTGAAGAACTGTCTACAGGTCGAGATGGAATGCCTAGTTTGATGTCTCGATCAATTCAGAGTCCGGAAAGTGCAGCATCTGGCACGTAAGCACAGATGTTTGGGCATCGACGAGATGTGTGCATTTTTTAAAAAAAAGAATAATGTTCAGAAAAGCCATCTTATGTATCATTGCAGAGCGAAATGGGAATTAAAAATTCCATTCAAACAGCTATGTGAATTTCATCCAGTTGCGACTTAGTGAAAGCCCAGCTCGAATTTTGCATCAGAATGATGTCCTGGCCTCGATCAACATCCACAGTCCCAACATTAAGTGGATTACATAGTGCAAATTCAGCGAGCAGTTAGCATCAGCATCACTTTACTCAACGACCTGAACTCAAGTTATGCTACAAGTTGTACAGCACGGAATTTATTTTGCATTCTGCAACAAATTCCCAGTACAAGATGCTATCTATCTTAATAAACAACTAAATGTCACAAAATTTGAAGAATAGAGAGAGACTAAAAAGCTTGGCAGAACCAAAGGCGTCATACATAGAGACCAGCACGTGGTAACAAATGCCCCCACCTTTAATGTGTGTGTGTATACATGTACATGCGCTGGTGACAGTCGGTGTATTGGTGATCATGAAAAAAAAAAAGTTAGACTAATGTACATTAGAAATCTTTGTACAACATCCATACAAGCCTGATTGTCCAAGTGATTTCTTATTTGAAACCTGCAAAAGAAATTCACTGCATCAGTAGAATTTCTACACTTCTATAACTGAAAATTAGTTTTTTTATAAATGAAAGCTAACAGCTGCAAAAGAAAATATTAAAAGCAAGATATTAAGTAAAAGTTACAAGTACCCCATTCATGAGAATAAGAGCAGCTGATTGTGCATGCAGCATTGAAGTTTAATTCTAAAGAAAACAAGTTACAACAAATGAAAGCAAGTCATACACAATGGACAAATTGTTAATTCTGATTTCAGCGAAAGGAAACACATATCAAATGGTATAATTCAAGGTCGGACAAGACCCTAAGTCCACAATGAGTTAGTAGTATCAGCAAATGCTCTTACTGGTCACTTTTTTACTTTGCACCATAGCAGCAGATCTATTCAGTAAACTAGAACTCAATTTCATTTTACAATACTTCAAGTAAAGAGCAAATATAGATATGTACAATCCCATTAACGATAACAATATTATATTTGTAAAGATACCTGCATGAACTTTATCCAGAAGACATGGCATCATGGCAAGGTTGAAAAGAAAAAAAAATTACTAGCCGATTTCTTGGTTAGCACAATTAGTTGGCTTTGCTGTCCTCTCCCTGCTCAAAAATATAGATAGCAGCATCAAGGAGTAGCACTTAAAATAGGGCACAGAATTCATTTGTCCTTAACTAAGAGTTACCATCAAAATTGTCAAGTGGCGACACATCATCTTGTACTGCTCAAAGGAAACTATGATACTGACTCTTCAGCTATAAGCCAGCCTTGATGGAGATTCACAATTTACATCATGTAGGAAGAGAATGCTCAGTAGCAAGCCACTTTCCAGATAACAATGAATCATCAACTGCAGGCGCAAGAGCATCCTTCCTCCAGACTATTACAAGCGTTGAGCAGTGCAAAGCTCATCTTCACGTGTGTCCCTCACTAACTAAATCATCCAAGTGGATATGCAACTATGTATACTAACTGGGTGTCATCAAAGTAAAAAAGGAAGAAGAATTCCATGATCAGTCTCTGTACAAATTGACCAGCAAGCTCAAATGAGAAGACCTATGCTTTTGCACTGTTGAACTATTGTCATGCTACTTCATCAAGAACAAAGTTAATTGGAATTGGATTAAACATCCAACAGGAACTTTCACCGGATGGCATTTTCTCAGATTCTGAACACATCAGCAGCTGATAGACTCCATTGAAATCCGCACAAGCCTTAGTAGATCATTCACACTTCGGAAGTTAAAATCCAGTACTGTTTTTACTGAAGAAAGACCATCATCTCCATTTTCATGATTGCCAGCAGCAGAAGCAATTGCCATTTGTGACTTCCGAGTAGCCTCAAAGGCACTATTGACATCATTTGTCTATGAAAACCAAAGAAACATTAGATCCCCTATAGAATTTATGAACCTTAACAATTGAAAAGTGGCATATAACATTAACGTATGAGGTATTAGTCTGAGCAATGGGCAAGTCCTAAGGATATCCTACATATATCCTACATTCTATGCCTAACCTTCTGATTTGAGTTGAGTAATGGTATGAACTGATCCATTCCCGTACCATTCCATATGGACACAATGTCAATGGAATAAAAGATGTCAGGTCATGTCATTCAGATGAACCCCATGAAATGACAAACAAAAATATTCATGGACAAGCCTATTCCTCCACCTAAACAAGACACTAGCACTCTATGAGGACACGATTGTTCAGATATTCACCGAGAAGCAGAACCACTTGCTAAAGGTTGCCAAAATCTATCCAATTTCCTAGCTTATTAACTTCCGGCGTGCTTGTAGGCTGCCATGATAAAATGCAAAACATTATAGGAAATTAGGCTCAACACCCAACTTCACCATCCTAAAAATCAAAAGATCACAGCTGCCAAGACGACTTTCATGCTGCAACAGATAATGTCACACAAATAGTCACCACTAAAAAATCTAACCAACGGTTCTACATCCTGGGACGCTGAGAAAACAAAGATTCAATGCCATTTCCAACTTCAAAATTATCAATTTTAGTTAGCTATAAAACTGAACTCCGCCTATGGTGGGGCGCCTTTGGTGTCCCAGCATAGCAGATCCCAAGCCCTGGTAAAGGAGGAGGGTTGTGTTAGGTGCGACGAGCCAATGTAAAAACTTAGCCACTTTAATGGAGATGAAACCCAAAAGAATCCCGTTGGGGTGTAATCCTCTTAGCAACGCACCATGTCGAAACCCAGGTATGGTGTTAAATGAGCAAAGGCCGGGTCGTCACCCCCGTGACGCGCCGTGTCGCGATCTGGACACGGTGTCAAGTGAGCAAGGATCGGGTCGTCGCATCCTTAGTAGCGCGCCACATCGGCGCACGGGTGTGGTGCAAAATGAGCAAGGGTCTTCACACCTACCTCGGCGGATGCGAAGGGTAAGGAAGCTAGTCGAAACAACTAGGATCCGTTTAGATAGCTGAATGTAGGGTCCCTTAGAGGTAAGTTAAGAGAGTTAGTGGACACAGCGATTAGGAGGCGTGTAAATATCTTATGCGTCCAAGAGACTAAATGGAAAGGGCAGAAGGCGAAGGAGGTGGACAATACCGGCTTCAAGCTCTGGTACACAGGGACAACTTCAAATAAAAATGGAGTAGGAGTTTTGATTGATAAGAGCCTCAAGGATGGTGTGGTGGAGGTGAGAAGGCAAGAGGATAGGATCATCTTAGTTAAACTTGTCATTAGTGATATGATCTTAAACGTAATTAGTGCGTATGCCCCCCAAGTAGGCCATGATGAGAGTGCTAAGCGGCTTTTCTAGGAAGACTTAGATCGCTTGGTTAGAGTTGTCCCTAGTAGCGAGCAGCTCTTTATAGGAGGTGATCTTAATGGCCATGTAGGTACATCAAGTGCAGGTTTCGAGGCGGTTTATGGGGGTTCGAATATGGTAGTAGGAAAACAGGAGGGAGAGGAAGTCTTAGACTTCGCCATAGCTTTTGATCTAATGATAGTTAACACTTTCTTCCGTAAGAGAGTCTCATTTAGTGACCTTTAGTAGCGGCCAATACTCTAGTCAAATCAACTTTGTCCTTACAAAGGAGGGATAAACGAACATGCGTGGACTGTAAGGTGATACCTGAAGAATGTGTGGTCGCTCAACACAAGCTGGTGGTGGCTAACTTCCGCTTTCTGGTGCAAGCTCGTGGGAACTAACAAGCTAGGGTTGCTAGAACGAAGTGGTGGAAATTAGAAGAGGATGCATCAAAGGTCTTTAAGGAAAAGGTCATTGAAGAGGGCCCTTGGAAGGATGAAGGATGAAGGCGATGCAAACAGCATGTGGGAGAAGATGGCAACATGCATTCGGAAGGTTGCTTCAGAGGTGCTTGGAGTGACCAAAGGGAGCGGATGCGACTCGAAAGACACTTGGTGGTGGAATGAAGATGTGCAAAAGGCTATTAAGGAAAAGGAGTGCTATAAGCGCTTGTATCATGACAGGTGTGCAGACAACGTAGAGAAGTATAAGGTGACAAAGAAGACTGCAAAACGAGCGGTGAGTGGGCCAAAGGGGCGGGCCTATGAGGACCTTTACCAACGTTTGAGTACAAAGGAAGGAGAGAAGGACATTTATAGGATGGCTAGGGCTCGCGATAGGAAGACAATGGACTTCAATCAAATCAAGCGCATAAATGATGAGAGGGAGCAGCTCTTGGTGAAGGAGAATGAGATCAAACATAGATGGCAAGAGTATTTTGATAAATTGTTCAATGGTGAGAACGAGAACACCACCGTTCAGCTGGACGACTCGTTTGATGACACTAATAGGCGCTTTGTGCGGAGGATTCAAGAATCGGAGGTCAGAGAAGCCTTGAAAAGGATGAAAGGGGCAAAGCGATGGGCCCTGATGGTATCCCAATCAAGGTGTGGAGATGACTCGGGAATATAGCTATAGTATGGCTAACCAAGATGTTCAACAATATCTTTCGATCGAACAAGATGGCTAAAGAGTGGAGAAGAAGCATATTGGTACCAATCTACAATGGCAAGGGAGATCGAAAGTAGTACTAATTATCGGGGAATTAAGTTGATGAGCCACACTATGAAGCTATGGGAGAGAGCCATCAAGCAGCGCCTGCGAGGAACGACGCAGATATCAACAAACCAATTTGATTTCATGCCCAAAAGGTCAACCACAAAAGTAATCCTCTTAATAAGACAAGTTATGGAGCGGTTTAGAGAGCAGAAGAAGGACCTCCACGTGGTTTTCATTGACTTGGAGAAGGCTTATGACAAGATACCAAGAAATGTTATGTGGTGGGCTTTGGACAAACATAAAGTCTCATCAAAGTACGTGACCCTCATCAAGGACAAGTTCAACAATGTTGTGACTAGTGTTCAAACAAACGATGGTAACACATATTACTTCCCGATTAAAATTGGACTTCATCAAGGGTCAGCCTTAAGCCCGTATCTCTTTGCCTTGGTAATGGATGAGGTTACCAGGAACATACAAGGAGATATCCCTTGGTGTATGTTGTTCACTGATGATGTAGTGTTAGTGGACGAAAGTCAGGCGGGAGTAAATAGGAAACTAGAGTTATGGCGGCAGACCCTTGAGTCTAAATGTTTTAGATTGAGAAGAACTAAAACCGAATATATGAGATGCGACTTTGGCGGAGCTGCACAGAAAGGAGAGAGATGTGAGTTTTGAAGGTCAAGTAGTGCCTAAGAAGGATACCTTTCGGTATCTGGGACCGATGCTACAGAGGGATGAAGATATTGATGCGGACGTTAGCCATAGAATCAAAGCGGGGTGGATCAAGTGGCGACAAGCTTCTAGCATTCTCTGTGACAAGAGGGTACCACAAAAGCTAAAAGGCAAATTTTATAGAACAGCGATTAGACCGGCTATGTTGTATGGAGTAGAATGTTGGCCTACAAAGATTCGACATGTTCAACAACTGAGTGTTGCAGAAATACGTATGTTACGATGGATTTGTGGTCACACAAGAATGGACCAATTTCAAAACGATGATATATGTGATCGCCTAGGGGTAGCACCAATTGAAGAAAAGCTTGTCCAACATCGGTTGAGGTGGTTTGGCCATGTCCAAAGGAGACCTCCAGAGACACCAGTGCATTGTGAAGTCTTAAGCCGAGCTAATAATATGAGAAGAGGTATAGGAAGACCAAAATTGACATTGGGGGAGGCAATAAAAAGATATTTGAAAGCTTGGGATATATCTAGAGATCTATGTTTAAATAGGAGTGCTTAGAAAGCAGCTATTGAAGTGCCTAAACCATGACTTGGGGCTCTTGGTGGGTTTCAACTCTAGACTATCCCAACTTGCTTGGGACTGAAAGGCTATGTTATTGTTGTTGTTGTTGTTGTTAGCTATAAAACTGCATAGGATGTCAGTGAGTGATCTAACTACAGCAAAGGAAAATCCAAAATAACACAATTGTCATGCAAGTACGAGAATCAGATGATGATCATTATATCCAATGAACATGGTAGTAACATGGAGCACTAAATTAAGGACCCCAAGCAGTGAAATAGCAGTGGTACCACCCTAGTCTCACACCATTGAACACAAATCATAAGAGTAGATGATGAGTACATATGATACTAACAAAACATTTTACCTTTATTGCATAGTCCACACTCCACAGATTATGAACTATCTTTGAAATCATGAAAACTAAGGCATGTTGTAAGCAGGTAAATTGTTTGGACTGCCTACCAAGATATCTAACAACTTACATAAGCTAGTAACCGCATCAAGTGTGGTTGATTTCGAGCGGCCAGCAACAAATGATTTCCAGCCACTTGTGGTGAATTAGCATCCTTGCTTGAAGAGCCCTTGGATAATCCATTATTATTTAAATTATCAATGTCTGAGGCTGAAGATGATGGTGATTCACCTACAAAAAAATACGATCAAGAGTAAGAAAGAGAGAGAAAGGAAGATCCATACAGTGTCAACCAGAAAATTTTTATAACAGATAAGAAATAACAATGAAATGACAACATGAACCTTTTTTCAATAGGGACTTGGTTAACGAGGAGAAAAAAAGATTTCAGTTACGTGCAAGACATACACTTCACTAGGAATACTCGTCACTGAGAGGAAACTATCACTTCTTCCACTTGTGGATGCAACCTAGCAGGAAAAGGAAGCTATAACCTACAGAATATATTTTCTAAGCATTTTGACAGTTTTTCAATCAAGACTAGGCTACTGAGGTGAAAAGAGGATTTCTACTACGTGCAAGACATACACTTCACTAGGAAAACTCACGACTGCTAGGAAACCATCGTTTTCACTTGTGCATGTAGCAGGGTTGTGAGCAATGGAAGCTATAGAACACGCCTAGTAGAGATGCAAACATTGGACATCATATATGAGTAGAAAACACCACATTAAGCTCAGCTTTGTCTATCACTTCATCTATAGAAACTCAAATGATTTTGAACTGAATTCTGATCATAATAGCTGAATAAATACAGAGAGTTAATAGAAGGGCTTTCAAAAAATACACAGAGCAAAATAACCAGACGTGATCTACTATACTAGTACTACATGTGTTTTGAGGATGTCATGCCAACTAAGACAATGCATCCATCTGCATTCCAGTTTTGATGCAGGATGAAAAATCAAATCAAATATTAAAAAAGATCCGGTCCTTGCCTAGCTACAACAATTGCATATTATATCCACAATTCCATTGATATGAGTTGACCTAAATAAACTGATGACAATCTGATTTTTTTAATGCATGACTAATATAACGGGTTTGAAGCACCTTACCAGAAAATCATCTAAGTATACGAAGAACATTTGAAGGACTGGAATTCACACAATGGGATATAACACTAAAATTTCCTCATTTAGACATCATGTACCTGGTGCAGTCTGTACAACTGCCTGTAACACTTGTCTATCCTTGCTTGCAATTGGGTGTTTGTAGTATGCAGCCTTCAGATAAGCAACTTCAACACACTTGTATGCTAAAGCAGCAGCAGCCATCTTCTTGCATTTTTCATATGCATGACCAACAAAGCTGGAAATCAAATGGACACTTAATATTGCGACCAAATTTGAACAATGTTAAACAAAACCAAAAGTATAGATTATAATTTGATAAAAGTATCATCTAAAACTTTTTAGGGGCAAGCAATGATGATTATACCAATTTGGCCTAGGTCCAATTGAACAACATTTGCCACTAAGGCATCATTTTACGCATCTACTTGTAACCATCAGGTAAATTACACAGTGAATGCTGCCGGGCTAATCAACTTTACGTTGAACACGTTCAGTTAATCAAGTGGTACTTGCAGAAGGTAGAGAATCACCACACACCAATGTGGGTGGGGAGCCTTTCATATATATAGCCAATAGGCATACATGGAAGTTACATACATGGGAAGCTATTTCCTGTACAAGGAAACTATCCTAGGCTATACATGGCAGCTAGCCTATCTAGGGGAACACCAATCAATCGCTAATTGATCTAGATATATACATATCCTAATATAGATATATACATATCCTAATAGTACTACCCATACAAGTCAGGCTATGCAGAAGCATTTCAATTCAAGGCCCAACAATGCTAACCTGGGGAGGTACACTCCCAATCATTTATTCACAGTGCAACCTGGTTCTTGAAGCAATGTACAGGAAAATATAAGCATAGTCCAGAATGGAGTTACAGATCAACAAGTCAAATGTATTGATATTTTAATGTCATCAAGTCATGCTGCTAATTCTAAACGAGCATTTAAATGTACATGAGGTCACAAGAGAAGTCATGATTCTAATATTATGGTCATGTTTCCTTTCTTATGCAAATGGAACTGCCTGGTACACACATCATATATATATATATATATATATATATATTAGAGTAGCTTACTTGCAAAGTTTTGCAGTATCTGAATACATGCTCTGGGCTGCATCGCCTTGTTTCAAACCATCAAAGCTAGGAGGTTCCAAAAGTGATGCAACATGCAAAAATTTTAAGGCAGCCTCAAAGTAGAGTCTTGTACTTTCAAGCTCTTTTCCTTCTCCCTGCAGAGAAAATTGGTGAGAACCTTACAAGATAAAAGCCAATATAACAGCGAAGTAGTCGTACAGGCATGGCATCAAATTGTAAGAGCAAAACAAAAGAGAACAACCTTCAAACGATTAGCCTTATGCTTTAAATCCCTGGCTTCTTTGAGAGCATATGCGGTTGAGGTATTGTCCTTCCTAGCTGGACTAGAAGTATCAGCAGGACTAGGAATTGCATGTTTTGCAATGCCATGTCGCCCTCCATTTTCAGCATTGTATTGTCTTGATTGTGGAATCAATTTTGACCCATTAGGTTTTAATGGAGTGGAATGGGAATCCAATTTGCTTTCTTTCTGAGGTGAGCAGACCATCTGGGGTTTAGGCTTCTGTGAATCTTGCTTGTTGCTCTTGAGATATGATTTCTCTTTTCCAGATGGTAAACCGAGCAGAGGATTTCCATCTGGTGGGCAATGAGTTGATCCATTTCTATCCTGAAGAGAACTTGTGCTTTTGTTATTTCCATGCATACTTGAATCACCTTTATCCAAGACTGATGTCTTTGGATCAACAGGATGCCGTCCTGGTTGCATAGGAGAGCCATCTGTATTATAGTTATTTTTTTCACCAGAATGCAAATGGTGAGAACCTTTAGGAATATGGGAGCTCTTTACATTGGAATCCTTTCTCCCAGATTCAGGCTGCAGATCCTCATTCAAACCCCTTTCAAGATGAATACCATCAGAGGCATGACCTTGAGTTAACTGAACCTGTCCATTATCTCTATCAGATTTTCTTCGGGAAGAACCAACCGAAACAGGTTCATTAGACCGTTGATCATTGCCTGCTATGCCAACTTCAGTATTTAGTTGTTTTGCCATGGTCGGCGCAGTGGTTGAGTTAGCATTCAGAGATCCATCCTTACCTGAAATTCTACTATGAGAGACAGAGACCTTGTCAATGTTGGAGTTTCTCTGTGGTGATGAAGAAAGAGGCTCAATTGGCGAAGTCTTCATAGCTTGAGTGGTCTGCTTCTTTTTTTGTGAGAATGAAGCCTTTGAAGAACTTGACGTTACAGCTAAACTCTGAATATATGCGACATCACTAGCAGGTTCACCCAAGTCCAAAGCCTGATCAGAAAGGCTCTTTTCTTGTTCAGGCAGACCTCTTTTGCCACTAAAGAGTGTGTTATCCTCAACTAACTCGCTGTTCATACGCCCCCCATCATAAGACAAAACCTGATCAGCATGTTGAGCTTTTGGTGGTTTGGAGCTCGTCATAGAAAACAGTTCTTCAGAATTCAATGACTTCAACTTTGCTTCCTTTAAGTTCTGATCCCTATAGGTTTCCTTGATAGCTCCTTTGCTTACATGAGCTACTGGATTGTACTGACTCTCCTCCCATTCCTTCACTATCCTCTTCTTACTAGCCATATCTGATCTTTGTACATCTGACTGGTGAAAATAGTCCTTGCTCTCGTCTTCAGGAACAACTACATCATCTTGTCTTGCTTTCTTGGAATTTTCCAAACGATTATGCCGTGAGACACTTTTTTGCTTAGATGAAGAAAGATCACTCCTTTCACCTGAACCCTTTGAGGTTGCTGACTTCACAGGCAAAGCCTTGGCCTCATCAGGAACATCTCCACTAGCTAAATCGGATCCAAGGTTCCGATCTCTATCAAAATGGCGTCGCTCTTCTTTCCTAATTTTCTTAGAAGCTTTGTATTCATCACGATCCAAGTCTCTCTTGCTTTTTACTTTAGAATGCTTCTTAGATCTTTCAACAAGATCTCCTAAGTTTGGTCAAGAAAATATGTCAGCAAAGAAACATAGATACACGTATAAAATGAGGTAAGACATATAGTAGGTTAGGTAAACTGAAATAATAAGGAAGAAATAGTATAGAACCTCCATCAGAATAGCTACTGTGATGCTTGCTCTTGGACCTTTTCTTTTCAATTGTTGGGTCAACTGATTTGCTTACAGAATCTCTCTCAATCGGATACTGGATACCATCATTATAAGTTTTACTTTTACTAGGAGCATGTTGGTTGCTCATTGGATGACCTGAACCCTGTGTTTGGTGAGAACCCTCGGCCACAAAATTTCCATCACTTAGAACATTTTTTCTTTTTCTATTCTGCTCAATATGTCCATTCATATTGGGAGTGCTGGATGTTACTAGTCCTGATGAAGCAACATGAGGATGGCCAACTGCAGGAATACCATTTGCAGGGGCAGGGACATAAAGTGCATTCAGAGCATTCGTAGTCTCCTCTTCACTAATCTCACACCTATTCAACCCAGGTCTGTAAAAGTTTCAAGTAATATAATTTCAGCAAGGAATCATCAGTGTCCGTCACATATGAATATAGAGAAATATTTTGTTGCTCTTACATCCCAGCATGCCACCTTTCTAACTTTAAGAGTAGCAGTTAAGAGTTCCCAATTATCTAGGCTCTGATGAAAAAACATTTAAGAAAAAAGACACCCAAATTTGAGTCGGAAGGGACTCAAATATAGGCGGCAACCCAGGCTTTTAATGATATGAAAGACGTAGAGCAGTTCAGATATTTTTATAGGGGATAAGCATGGTTCAATTCCGTAAAGTTTCAGATTCTATGACTCCTTGGTATGTGCGCATAAAATACTCTCCAGACACACAAGAAAGTGAAGATTGTTTTGGCCTTTAGCCCCATGTAGTCAACTCTTTAAACTTAAGGTATCAGTACCCCTATAAAATATCAAAATTAAAAATATGAAAACAAATATCTAGGCTTATAATTATCAGAATTCATGAAGTTCGGCACAACTGATAAGATGTCAAATTGAACATAGCAATGGGGGTCATTCGATAACGACTTTGATAGGACGATGTAATTGAGCACAAAAATTCATGCAGTAAGATCTATCATCAAAATTCTAAACATATGTTTTATCAGAATGGGTCTTCTGTGTTCCGAAAATTCATATCCAAACTGTAGTGGTTTAAACGCATCAAACCAACCAACCCCAGACAGGTAAGATGGCACTGGTTACATGCTACCTAGTTCATACACTGACGTTAGACAAAGGAAACAAGGAACAGCATACAGAAACAAGCACAAAAAGAAGATTTCCCTAAAAAAAAACACAAAAAGAAGATTGAGCGAAAAATATCTAAAAATCATAAAACATCTACGATGTGGAAACTGGAAAGTATGAATGGACTTAAACTTACAGCCAATGTAGCATGCTACATTTCCACTTCTTAGGTAGATTTGAAGGATTCATCTCATAAGGTAGGAGACGCCATTTATCGCATATGTCACAGCTCACCCAATGTTCCTCTATTACAACTGGGGCTGCATGTGTAGGAGCTGCATTTGCAGTTGATACAGTGGCAGGTGGAGGTATATGCATCTTCTGCTCCTCAGAAGCCAAGTGCTTGTCATGCTTTACACTAGAAGAAATCTCCCTCCTCGAGATCCCAGGTGCATCAGAATCCCTCTCGCTGTCATATTTCCATGGTTTTTCCTTTGGTCGGGGATCTCCAAAGACACTTTCATTCTCCAATGTGTCCTGTTCCTTGCTTCCATAAGATCCTTCGGGCAAGTCATCCCTAACATCTCTATGTGATTTTGCTTTGGGTTTCTTTCCAGTATGGCTAGATTTGGATTGCATGTCACTTTTCCTCTCCTTAACTGCAGCAGAAGAATGAATGTGTTTCTCATCTTCCAGGAAATCAGAAGACATCGAAATGTTGGTCTTTTGTTCTCTCTGAATTTTTTTGACCTCACTCTTGGAGTTATTTTCCCCATTTGTGTCAGAAGGTAAAGTTTCTTTACCAGAAACTTTTCCCATGCTCCGGGAAACAGCTGGAGCTCTTGCGTTTATAACATTGCTACCTTCAAAGTTAGAGGCATCACATTTACTCTCAGGTTTTATTTTCTTTTCTTGCTTCCTATCCAGTATTAGATCTTTGTCATTAGTTGTATTCCTCTCTTCTAAAGTTGTCTCTCCCTTTTCTGTCTTGGGTTTTGGTTCCCCTTTCGCTGCTGAAAGATCCATTTCTGAACTGCCAAAACTACTGTTCTCTAAGCATTCCATCGCCTCTGCTTTGACAGGTTCCACTTTAATAGTCATGGAGTCAGTCTTGGTGGACCGCTCTTTCAATCGAGCATCTCTAGTTCCGCCCAAGTTGTTTTCTGCTGGCTCCTCTTCAAGTCGATTCTCACCTTTTGCATCCATAGCTCTGGGATCAGATAGCAATGATATGTTGAGAGCTTCAGATACGATCTTTTGACCAGCTACTGTTTCTATATCAATCTCCTTTTTCATAACTGCGCTAATATCATTTCTATTCTTTGAAGTTTTTGCATCTATCAGCTTCTTTTTCTTACCATCAGATTTCACCTTTTTAGCCACATGGCCTTCATGTGGTTCTTGTATATTTTCTATGTCCACATTTGATTCCCACTTCTTTGACGAAGCCACAACCTTTTTTGTCAATTGCAATATATTGGCTGGTAGAGGGGATAACAGGAAGCCTCCAGGAACTGAAAAGCATGTCATGATCTGTTCGATCATTGAAATGAAACTTGTCATCAACCCCCTTTTACTATGGACAATGAAATAGAAGTATAAAGACCTTGTGTAGTTGTGCTGTACCAGAATAGTTTACCTGAAGAATGGTTTGTGGAGATTCATGTGGCACATTGTTAACTTCAGGGGACAGGCTCCCACAGCCATCGGGGCTATCCTCGATGGATGAAGGTGAAGAAATATCAAGGCCCAGACCACTGTAGATAGCCGCATTATTTCTTGCCAAAACATTATCAGAGCCAACTTTTATCCGGACTTTAAGTCTATTTTGGTCACTAGATTTCGATGGCCCGTACGAATCATGGGAGACAGAACCCCTTTCCGCCTTTGTGGTTGGGCGTATTTCCTTTTTAATTGAATCACCAGAAAAAGGCACCACAGGACCATTACTTTGGGGGGTAGATGAAACAGCCACAGCCAGAGGCTTTTGAGACATGCCCTACATTACAAATCATTACATCATCAATGCCAGACGAGAGCATGTTCATGATAACACTGTTCTACGACAGTAGATAATCACAGCCAACAGAACCTTAGGCACCTCACTAGACTGGTGAAAGGGAGATTTTGAGGTAACACTTGCTGCCTTAGGTGGACTTCTAGTTTGAGGAAGAGGAGAGCGCTGGTATGTAGGTAAAAATGAACCATATCCACCAAATTTCGACCCTGTCAAAGATTAAAGTTCTGCTTAATGTTTATCTATAATGAACCCAAATCAAGCTGATACAGTGACTGTTCACATATCCCCACCTAGATTCTCTGCAGACACGCCTCCTTCGAAGTCTTTCTGAAAATGGCCAAGTACATCTTGAAGTTTTTCGTCCTGAAACATGCAAACCATAGGATACAAAGAAATGTTACAGCAAAATTGACTGGTGGTACGGTATACAGTATATAATCTTAAAACCAAAATTGCAGTCTTGCTTGTGACTTCCTTTCAAGCTGGAGTCACCCTAAAGACGGTGAACTGCATAAGACAAGGCTAGAATTACAGCTACTCCCTTCAATTAACCTGAATATGTCATTTTTCAAATAGCCTAAAAAGCATGCTACCGTTACCAAAATTTGGTCAAGTATACAACATTCATGTATCTTCTTTCTCTTAACCTTTCTTCTGGACAAACAGAGTTTCATATACGGCATGTACTTCGTGTTAGAAGTTTGGAGTTACAAGTGTATAAAGATTGACTTGAGCTCAAAACAAGGACAGGTCTCAGTAACGCATGGGAGCATCGTAGACCGAAAGGCGTTGCAGGATCTACCGCTGCAAAAAAGACACTCTCAAGGAAGCACACGATCCCACTGTCACGACTTGCAGAAACTTAGCCAAGTAGGACAGTACTACTAGATGTATGACTTTGGTATTGTAGTTGAAGGGAGTAGAAACGGCAGGAGGAGAGATAAGACTGATCCCCACCGTACCACACTCAAAACTGGCGCATTCCAAAAATAAAAAACCTTAAGTGTAATCTCACAGAGAGAGCAGCCAAATCACTAGTGGGTACCTAACAAACGCCAGGACAAACCAAGAGAGCAGTTTTTCTTTCCATTTCCATTTCCATTATACCGGCGTCACCCATAGTACTTACTTGACTAATTTAGCATCCTAACCTCCAGGCAAGTAACCAAGTGAGGAAAGAAAAGAGTAAATGACCCAGCAACGCAATTGCCTGCTTCCTTCCAGTAGTACCCCATTCCTATCAGCCAAAACAACAGATCGAGCAGGTTCCTAAGTGATCCAGCTAAGCAATTGCTTGTGGTGGTAAAGTACCATTCCTCCGGTCGCATGAAGCAAGGGAGAAACCAAAACAGACCACTTAATTCGCTTTCTATAATAATCGGAGCTACAAAACAAGCGACAGCACAAAATCGGACGCGCGTCTACCCGACCGGACGATGCGAGCAAATGACCTAGAATCAGTGCAGCGTGCCCGGAAGCAGAGACAGCCGCGACATTGCTGGAGGTGGGGCGACGCGCGACGGGAGCGACTCACAATGTAAGAGAGCGCGACGTCGGGGTCAACGAAGGCGGTGTCGTCCCCGCAGGCCTCCCCCTCCTCGAGCTCGGCGTCGTCGTCCATGCGGAGTCCGCCCCGAGGCTGCTGCGCCTGCGCTGCTGCCGCTACGCGGACGCCCGCATCCTCCTGCCGCCGCCGCACGGACAGCATCAACCCGGGTGCACCCCGCCTCGCCTCGCCTAACCACCTACCTCTACCACCAGGCAGCACACAGCAGCTCCCGGCGGCCCGGCGCGGAGGCGGGCGACCTCAGCAGGAAGGGCGGCCGCCCCGCGCGAGCAGAGCAGGGAGCGAGCTCGAATCGGAGCAGCACGAGCTCCCCGATCGGCGGGATCTCTCCCCCTGCCGCGCCCGGATCGGCGAATCGAGGCCTCCGGATTGGGGATCGCGAGATTCGGACGCGGGCTCCCTCCCTCCTTCCCTCCCAGGCTAGCCCCTCGGTCTCTCTCCTCTTTCTCTGTCCTGACCCCCTTCCCTTGTCTGCCTCGGCGTCTCGAGGTTTCGTCGCACGCGAGAATAAATTTTAATTTTTAATTGGTCTTGCGGGAGCTGGCGGGCCAGCCAGCCTTTTGCGGCTGCCTCCCTCGGTACTCGGTAGTCTTCTCAGCCTCTCTCGCGTTCGCGTTCGCGTTCGCGTTCGCCTCCCCTGACCGTTTCTGTTTTGGTAGACCTGGCTAGCTGGGTGGCCTGGACTGGACGCCTGCTGGGAGGGGACCGGCGGCGGTGGCCAGCCTTGCCGGACGCTGGTTTTCTTTTTGGGCTGCTGCGCGGCCCGCGGCTCTTTTTTTCCCCTTTCCCCGCGGCTTTTCGCTTTGGTCTTGAGGAGGAGAGCGAAGCAGCGAATAATTGCAATGTCCGTTCGGCCCTTGGGTCTCTTGCTTGCGGGTGACGGCTGGGCTGACGCCTGACAGGAGGAGAGGATTTTGGTGCACGTGTTTCTTGCTTAAGTTGACTTGGAGTGCAGTTAAGCGTTGCAACGGCCTCCTTTATAGCTTCTCTCTTTTTTTTTTCCCGGGCTACTCGCTGTAGCTGTAGTATCTACACTCACCTCACACACACGATTGTGTCACACACGCGCTTATACACATCCTGTGTACAGGTTAAACCTGCACAGACAGCTAAAGGCACACGCACGGCTATATCACTAGACTCAATGTTGACGAGTACGACACCTTAGCCATTATGGATCATCGGAGGTTGAGACTACGAAGAAAATGAAGAAAACCCTAGTGTGAAAACCTGCGGGACAGATCTCGAACACAAATTACGAGTGCTCTACTTAACAAACACGATCATTCCGTGCCGGCTCAAGATAAATTAAAAGTATCAGTACTAATGGCATGTCACCATAAAAAATATTTTTAAAGTATATACTCATTTTATGTCATAAATGTTATGGATTAATTTATAACGTTGAGAGTTGATTTAATTTTGGACGGAGGGAGTATATGGCATTAGCTTCTATTTACTCCTTTTATTTAAACACCGGTGAAGCCAAACGTATTGTCTAGTACAGTTTGGCTGTTTTCTAAGTCGTCTTTTACAATATTCTTTTTTTTTAGGCATCTATCTTGTGAGTTGAAAATTTAAGGCGATAGGACTAGTCGTGCAATGTGGATGTTAACATGCAACTTACTACCTCTATTCTAAAAGAACGTAATTCTAGCACAGTGTCACGTTTTAGTACCTTAAATTTAATTAATTATAGATCAAAAAGTATTCATATTTATGATACTAAATAAATATCATTAGATTAATTACGAAATGTATTTTCATAATAAATTAATTCAAAGACATAACTATAAATATTATTCACTGAAAATTTGGCCAAAGGTAAACCACTTTTCGTGATACACAACCCATAGTTGCATTCTTTTCAGGACGGATGTAGTAAGACCTAGTATTTGGCAGAGCTTCTCCTGCATTAGGAAACGGATTATTTGGCTAAAATATTTTTTCTATGATTCTCTAGGATAAATAAGGCCTTGTTTAGTTTCTTTCCCTAAAGTTTATTCTCTATCACATTGTATGTTTGAACACATACGTGGAGTATTAAATATAGACTATAAAAATAACTAATTGCACAGATTACGACTACTTTGCGAGATGAATTTTTTAAGCCTAATTAGTCCATGATTTGACAATATGGTGTTACAGTAAAACTACAGCAACATGTGCTAGTGACGGATTAATTAGGCTTAATAAATTCGCCTCGCAGATTTCTCTAGGACTTTTGTAATTTGTTTTATTATTAGTATCCGAACACTCCTATATAACACCCGATGTGACACCCATAAACTTTAGCGCTGGATTTAAACACCACCTAAACTATATATAATGATGATGTATGTGGAGTTAACGAGAAGCTATTCTTCAGCTTCTAGTTTTTCTAGTTTATTTTAGAGAGTCACTTCACATAATTACATAAAATTATTTAGGTCTTGTTTGGATGTTGTAGTATTAAAAAATATAGTATGAAGAAACTGTAGTTTTAGAATCATTGATGTGTAAAACCATGGTTTAGAAAAAAGAGGCCTAGAGTGGAGTTTTTAAAACTCCAAAAAGACTACAATTTCAGCAATACCATGATATTCAAAACCATAAAGTTTGTTGAACTCAAACACTTCATGACACTCCAAAACTAAAATATTTTTATAAAATCATGGTATTTTTCTAAAACTTCCAAAATACTTTGTATGCAAACATAGCCTTATCGATGAAAAAAACTATTTGCCTTCTAAATCCAGCTAGAAAGCTGCTCCGACAGCTCTGCAAAACAGATCCTTAAACGTTCCTAGCTACACCTCCTGGATGAGACTCCTCTCCTGGCGCGTGCAATGTCCCTTGCTACCTAGCTTCCACAAACGACTCCTCTTGCGATGGGTCAACATCAGAGACGTTCACGGTTGTTCGTTTCGTTTGGTGGACGTTAAATGGGTGGAGCGCCTCTTCGTGACCACGGTACCTGATATGATTTTGACACTTCCTTCTTGATAACGCTGGTAAAAGTAAGGCAATATATCCACGCTTATCTATTACACAACCACCTTAAAAGAGTTCAAACTTATATCTAGTGGTCCATATGGGTATCCAAATAATGGACCCGTTCGCTTCGCTGAAAAAACAAGACGAAACACTGTTCCGGCTGATTTGTTGTGAGAGAAAAACACTGCTCTCGCTGAAAAAGACGGTTATAAGAGAAGCGAACATGGTCAATATTGGACCAAACTTTAGTCATCTATTTTACAATATTAGTCCTGCCAACGAGCTCTTAATTAGGAATTGAAAGGTGACAGAAACTAAAGATCGTCCATAATCAAGTCGCCATGCTTAATTTCCGGCTGCCTCTCCTCACCTCACGTGATCCTAGCCTGATAGAATCAGGACAAAGCGTGGCATATTGGTTGTCCCTGTCACTGACACGGAGAGCCTCTCAGTGGTTCACATCCACGAACCGTCTTCCAATCAGAGTCATGGCTGCTGCTAATCTCAGGAAGCGTCCAGCTTGGGGTGGATAAACACATTGCGAGCTACTGCTAGTATAGTAGCAACTTTTTAGTGCACGTGTGCCATCGTCATCAGACTTTGGCCCTTCATTTTAGTAGTATATTTATTTATTTTATGAAATCATTAATTGGAACGGTTGTGTAGTATGTTTTTAAAGATGTACAATTCTGTCGTGAAAGAAAGATGTATAATTCCTTCCAGTTTTTTTTTTTTTTTTTGGAAAACCAGTAGTACCCGGCCACTTTATTTTTTTTCCATTTGGATTGAGGAAACCAGTGGCAACTTTGGCTAGGCGCTAGCAAGTAGCAAACTCACGCACGTCTAGTCTTTGTTTGTGCGTAAAGCTTTGCTCGGGTGTTCTATCCAACTGAACGATCCATGATTCTACTAAAAATATGCAAAACTAAAGTAAACACGATAGGACGTGTGCGTAGGTTAGCTGGTTGGGGAGAAAAACAAAAGAATGTATGAGATATAATAACTCGAAGCGAGTAGGTAGAAAAGAAGAATGGTTACAACGAACTACTTCAATTTTTGTCTTGGAGTAGGAGTTCCATTCATTTCAGACTAGAAGTTGTTTGTATTTTTTTTTAATATACTCCGTCTGTCCTTAATATATAAGAAATTGAGAGTTCAAAATTTGTACCAAAATATAAAGTACCCTAGGTAAATAAACACTAAAAAGGGACAATATTCACATGTGTATATATTAATGTCTATCGCCAACCCGAAAATGATAATCAGGGAGGATTATATGTGACATTTATCTTACCACATAATATGTCCTAAAGTTACTTGGATACCTTAGATTCCAGGATAGATGGATCACATAGTTTCTACAATGTATATATACATAGCAAATATATAGGTATATATAACATCCTTCGTCCCCCCCCAAAATGTGAAAAAGTATATACTGAAAAACAAAAATAGATTATAATTTGAAATGGAGCCATGGAGGAAGCACATACTCCCTCTATTCCAAATTATAAGTTGATCTAGCTTTTCTAGATACATAAGTAGTTAGGTACTATGTACTCACTCTATTATTTTTACATGTCACATTAGGTTTGTACTAAGTCAAACATTACTATCTTTGACCATTTATTTCAAAAAAAAATCCTTAAAGTTTCACAACCTATGAATTATGTATCATGGAAGTATTTTTCATAGTGAATTTAAACATGAATCTTATGTCATGAATGTATTTTTTTAAAAAAAAATCGATGGTCAAAGATAGAAATGTTTTTGACTTAGGATAAACCTATTACGACATGTATGTAAAAACATAAGGAGTATCCAGACATTATGTACATCTAGTTGTGTGATAAAAGTTATATATCTAGAAAAGTTAGAAAAGTGAAAATAACTTATAATTCGCGGAGGAACTAGTTAATTATCATTTGTGTGTAAGGCTGGGGGATTGTTCGCCAATCAATATCTAGAAAGGAGCGTTTACTTAAGACAGATATGCTGCGGCCAAATTAGGCATGATTGATCTTTGCGAGCCTGGACAAAAAATACTAATAACATGTACTGCATTGTATGGCTACGTGATGGGTCGTAGTGGCCCCCCTGCAAAGTAAGGTGCAATGGATGAGGACGGATCAGTAGACGTCGTCGTCGGGAAAGGAAATATGGATGGGCCTCCACTTCTTCTGCCCACTGCAACCGGAACTGGGCCTAGTACTACCTACTTCCTGCCAAGCAAAACTAGCCTAGCCAGTAGCCAATCCATCGCCACGGGGAACTACTCACTCCGTCCCTCAACAGAGGACGTTCTGAGATTGAACGCGGAGCCCAAAGCAAGAGTTAAAAGACCACGGTATTTCTATAATGTAATCATTACTCATGGTGTCTGATTGAAAGACATGCACCACTTTTGCATTAAAAAAATAGTTCAGTCAAAGCTAAAGCCATGCACCGGCATTTTTTAACCTTACACAAAAGGCACTGCACATTCGGCAAACACACCTAGCAACTGCCGCCGTCGCCTCCATCTCCAACCTCAACGGCACGCTTTCGGCTAACATCGTGGCCGCCGCTCCCTAGCTTGGGGGAGCATGTCCCGTCGCCACCGCCGCCCCCCAGCTTCAGGGCATGCTTGGAGGCCACATCGCCGTCGCGGACCGCCGGCTTGACAACGGGCTCGGGGTTCCCATCGCTTTCGCTGCTGCTGCCTCTCAGCTTTGCGCCGCGCTGCTTCGGCCAGGTACGGCGGCGGATCCAGGCCAGGCGGTCGGGTTTAGGGTGGCGCCGCCCAGCGCCAGCCATGCCCGATGGGGAGGAGATGGGGATGCGGCACTGGGATGCGGATGAGACGGGGATGGGAGCCGACGGAGATGGAGAGGTGGATGCGGATAGGTGTGCTTCCTCCGTCCGTGACCGAGAGGATAAGCCTCTGGAGATATTGTTTCCTTCCCATCGTCTGTTTCCTTTTTTTACTCTTTTATTCGTGGAGTGGGAGACAGAAACGTGATGGATAGACGGTTGTAATACTTAGTATAGGGTAGTAGGAGCTAAAACGATATCTATTTTGATACTCCTTTTGAATGCTTGGCGTCCTCTATTGAGGGACGGAGGGAGTACGTACTAGAAGAAGAAGCAAGACAGAGACAGACTTGTGTTAACGAAACAACGGCGTCTCCGTTGCGGCGTTGATGCAGCGGAGCGGCGTCAGGCTCGATCCGTACGGGCACGGGTGGGAGTGGGGTCACATCAGATGATGATCGAGACACACGCGACATCCCCGAATCCTCCGTGCGCGGGCAAGTGTGCCACCGCCCCAGCCCCCAGGCGGGCCCCAGCTGGGCCAGGCCAACATCCATGGCACTAGCAGCCAACACGGACCACGGCGCGCGCGGCCGAAAGCCGAGACCACCGTACCTTCTGTTCTGGCCCGTCTTGGATCTCGTCTGCAAGAGATGAGATCCACCAGTGACCAGACCCCAGCCGCGGATCGATAAGAACGTTCAACCTAGAGTACGTACGCCCCGGGCTTAAATCTTCAGTTCTCCACGTACTCCTACTGCGACTGCGAGTGTCTGTTTCCGTACGTTACGTGACGTGCACCAAGCCACCAACCACCTAGTATCTGATTCTGATGCCAAAGTCTCCGGGGCCTCGTTTAGATCGCAAGTTTTTTCATTTTTTTATCACGTTAAATTTTTAGACACATGTATGGAGTATTAAAATTAGATAAAAAATAACTAATTACATAGTTTAATTGTAAATTACGAGACGAATCTTTTGAGCCTAGTTAGGCCATGATTACTTAATCGATTACTAAACCTCCAACCATATCTAGCAAAGATTTCCATTGTCACAATTTTCAGTAGAAGGCATGCATTACAGTATTACACAGCAAGCTACACTACTTCTGGAACAGTGATCATATCATGGAACAGTAGAAGGCATGCATTACAGTATTACACAGCAAGCTACCTGACTCTCTCTTTTTTTTAGTCATAGTAAAAACTAAGGCGCTTATATGCATGGATGCATACTTTTATTCGTATGCACATATGTTCTCTCTGCGACTATCAACGATGAGACCAACTATCCAGACTTAATATCGCAACGTGGGCTACCTTCTTTGTTCCTCCTATGCACTATTACGTATTAGGCCCTATTTCTATGAGATGGTCCTATGAAGTATAAACACGTTTGAAAATTTGAACTGACACATTTTAAGATTAACAAAGTCACAATAAGTACCTCACCGTCATCAGCATTCAGTAAAACAGTACAGGACCATATATAAGGACCAAACTCATTAAACTCATATGTCTTTATTAAAAAAAACTATTAGGGTAACCTACAGGCTGCAGCTACTATATAGCCACAAACTTTCTCGTTTTTTTCCTACCGAACAAAGTAAGCTAGTAGCTTACTCGTTCTTTCTACAATTCTATGCAATCAGCGGCAAAAACCACCATTCATTACATAAGTATACACAGCGTGTACCGCGTGACAAGCACGGAGAGCACCTCTCAAAAAAAAAAAAAAACGCGTGTAAATAAATGAGGTGAAAGGTGACGCAGGCCGGTACGGTCGTTGTTGTCTTGTGGAGAAAGGTTCAAACGATCGCGTTCGCCCTTTTGTCTTTTTTGCTTATATTGGCTTATATAATACTTTATTTATTAAATTATGGAGTGTATATATATTAGTATATCACAGGGGTCACAAGCAAGCTGTCCATGTCCTCTCCACTATACAGTTACAAAATACCGGCCGTGCCATATGACGTCACGTTTGTGATTGTTCCGTTCTACCAGAAAAGGTGTTCAAGAATTCGTTCAGGAAAAAAAAGTGTATTCTAGAATTTGTGCTAATTAAGTTCTTTAGGGGACTTTGGAGTCCACGAGAACAACGATGTACGCGGAACGCAATATTGTTCCCGTCCTAGAACGAAATCGCATCGAAATATAGAGAAAAGTCAAATTTTATATTTTTTAATTATTAATTATTCAAACTAGATATATGACTAGGACACAAGACTTCATTCTTAATAAGTGTCTCTAAGATGATATTGATTCGGTAGCAAATAACAATATATTGTAAGATTATATAAATTAATAGTTGAAATCTATTTTATATGGCTCTTTGCTGGTAGAGATATGCTTATCATTCTAGAACGAAGAGATGGCTTCCGCTTTGTGTTGCTTGTTCTAGAGCAACAGAGTTTTGCTTGAATTGACCTCTTGCTAGCTACAAGAAATATGCATACTCTCATTTAATTATTGAGCTTATTTTAGGTGTGGACATATATATGTCAAAAGGAAATTAAAAGATGTGTACACAAATTTCAAATTAGATTAATATTATTATCATTATCTTGTTTTTAAACAAGTCGATACATAAAAAAGAGCAACACGTACAATTCGTGTTCATTTCGATCAAGTATGGGACCACAGACCACTACATGCTAGTTCACCGCAGTCCTCGATACCACAATTTCTGCACTGGCCCTGGCCCTGTTCGGTTTACCCCATATTCGATTTGTTTGGCTTCTTTTTCCAGTTGGAACAGTGTTTTTCTCTCACAACAATTCAGCCAGAACAGTGTTTTCAGTCAGTTTCAGCCAAAATTCTGCCAGCTGAACGGGGCCAGTGCAGAAACTTCCGTACGTATAGGCTAACATAAAATACATTAAAAAACATGGAGCTTGTTGTAATAACATATATAATTCACACGGTTAAAAATCTCACCTCAAACAGATGATAGCTAATCATGAGTCTCAAGAGTCGTCGAGGGGTTCACGAGATATTGGCCTCATTCGCTTCGCTGAAAAAATAGGTCAAAACATTGTTCCAACTAATTTGTTATGAGAGAAAAACACTGTTTCGGCTGAAAAAACTAAGCTGAAAAGCAAGAGAAGCAAACAGGGCCAGGGCTAACTTCGTTACGCTAGCTAGTGACGATGATGGGTGATGTGTATCACGCATGATTGCGATAGGTCCATACATACAACAAATAATGGACATTATATATTTAGAATAGCGTGGGCTTGTTTAGTTTGCAAAATTTTTTAGCGGAATGGTACTATAGCATTTTCGTTGTTATTTGATAATTAGTGTCAAATTATAGTCTAATTAGGCTTAAAAGATTCGTCTCGTGAATTTCGTCTAAACTATATAATTAGTTTTATTTTTTATTTATATTTAATGCTTCATACATGCGTCTAAAGATTTGATGTGATAAGGAATCTTGAAATTTTTTGTAAAATGAAGTGGAACTAAACGGGGTCCATGAACTCAATAATTCAATCTCTACTCAATCTGTTCGCTTACTGATCGATCGGGTCAAATGTGCTTGTCCACGTGTCTACAACAGCAAGGTTTCACTCATGGTACTCGTGGCTAGTCTGTTCGCTAGTGGTTTCAGTCGGTATTTATTAGTCAGCTAATAATATTTTTCTCTCACAATAAATCAGTACTAACTAGGCTAGCACAATATAATAGTTATATTAAGTTTAATTGTATATAGATATGCTACACTTGCCACAATGATTAATATATATATTGTTAATAAAAAAACTTGTAGTCACAGCCAAAGGGCAATAGTTACCGTGCTGCTCATTGTGAATTATGGTCTTAACAAATCAACACAACTAGAAGCATAACACGTGCATTGATGCGGAAAATTGCAAAAAAAAAGAAACATATAATTACTATATGAATGGACAAACTATTACAGATTAATGTTAGTGGGTGGTGTGGTAACAACTAAAACCCCTCTCCAAAATTTCATCGACAAGCCGTAAAATTGGCTTTTCGGCTCATCCAAAAATAGATTAAACCAAGTCGCCGGTAAGCCGCCGGTGAAAAAGCTCTAAAACTCCCATTGTCCAAAAAAAAAAAAAGATGTTCTAGCGTTTAGAGGGAGTTTCCATTTTTAGATGTCGTTTTGGCTTTTAATTAGGGGGTGTTTTTCCATGTCTGCCTCCTAATAAATAGAGTTGCGGGTGCATCTGTATCGAGTAAACAACCAAGGCTTAACGGCTAGAGCAAAATAAGCTACCACCCGGGTTCTATACCTAGCCGGGCACTATTTTTTTTTTGTGGACGTAAAATAGATGAAACTCGTCGAAGCCGGCATAAGCCGTATCAAAAGAGCTCTAAATACTCCCATTGTCCAAAAAAATAGATGTTCTAGCGTTTAGAGGGAGTACCAAGGAAAAAGGAGAATGACTGCATTAATTGTCGTACAGACAAGAACGCTTGGCTCTGGTTGTAGGAGAGAGAGAGACGCTATTGTGATAGGCCTGGGCTACCGAGCCAGACTACGGTGATAGACCTGGCACGTACAGAGGCAGTACGGAGCGTCATTCTTTATGGGACACATTTTGAAGGCTAAAACGGCCTTTTTTTAGGGAGGAAGTACATATTAGCGTATGATGTGTCTCGTTGACGTTTATATCATAGCTGTAGATGCTAATGTGTTGTTATTGAGGTGGATAACTTGCACATCGAGATAGAATCTTTAGTAGGGTTTAGAATTATAAGATAGTAGAAGCGTATCCTGAGCATTGCTACGGGGATCGTGAGTGAACTTTAGTGGATGATATGGCTCGTTGACGTGGACAAATAAATCTATGTTAGTGGATGATGTGGTATGATGGCGTGCATTGCTTGCATTAATAGATATGTGTCATAATTACATGCGCTAGAGTGGGTTGTCGATGTGGATGTCTTGAATGTCGAGATAGAATTATTGTGGGGTTTAGGATTATAAGGTATATAGATATTTTTTTGAAGGAATAATATATAGAT